TTTAAAAAATTAAAAAATAAAAAAAAATAAAGTGGGGGAAGCGAGCAGGAAGGAGTATTGAGCCAGCAGCCACCTTTAACTCTGCTGGGTAAGATCATTATTTTTCCCCCCAGAATACCCTATAACCTCTTACATTTCTTACATTTCAACTTCAAGTTTTATTTCTCAGGCATTTAAGATGCTTTCAGCTTTTTACCTGGCTAGTTGGAAGCCAAGATTATATTTTTCTCCTGGGGGCTCTTCTGCTAGGCCAGAAACATCAGAAGCAACCTTAACTTTAGGTTGTTATATGACATCTTTCAAAGTATAATCAGGCTGTGTGGTTCATGATCCGGCTATTAGATTAAGGGTCTGTGTTGCCAAAGGGCTGTTCTTCTAAAAATATTGAGAATTAAAGAAACCTGACTGGACAGGGAGGGAAAATTCCACAAGTTGGTCCCTATATCCTGATCAGGAGATTCTTTTCCTTCTTTCCTGTTTCACCAAAAAGCACACTTGCCCATACTATTCACATTCTCAAAACACATTTGTTACTCTCAGGGCTCCTGGGGTCTATAACCCCAACTGTTGGCTTTTGACTTCTCAATGTACTTTTGTTTTTTTACACACCTTTGCTTATATTTTAGGGCTTCTTTTCCCTGTGGGAGAGAGAGGAGTAGGTTGTAGAAATACTGGTGGGAAATAAGCCATAAATCACTCTACCTTCTCCATCATGAAGAACCGAATAGTGAGAGCCTCGAAATCTCTCTCCATAAACTACTTATTAACTACAAAGGGACAAATAATAACTTGACCGTGGAGAATCCTCATGGACACCACCTTAAGCAAGACACCAGTGAGACAGACGGACATCAGGTGCCTCCTGTCAGGATGCACAGAGGACATCACTTCTGTGGTACCCCTGCCAAAACAGGAAACAGGACCAACTCAAACCGACTCCATCATTTTCTACTACAAGCAGCCTATGCTCTGCCACGGTCAATAACGTGAAAGACAAAAAGGCTGAAGAACTGTTTTGTATTTAACTTAAGGAGACATGAGAACTAGGTGTGTGAGTGGTCAATTAAGTGTCCACCTTCAGCTCAGGTCATGATCCCAGAGTCCCAGGATCGAGTCCTGCATTGGGCTCCCCGCTCAGCGGGGAGTCTGCTTCTCCCTCTGACCCTACCCCTGCTCGTGCTCTCTCTCTCAAATAAATAAATAAAATTTTTTAAAAAAAGAGACATGAGAACTAAGTACCATGCATGCTTGTGGATTGGTTTTTGAACTAAAATAAATAGCTATGAAGGATGTTACTAGAATAATTGGCAAAATTTGAACATGGACTGTAGAAGAGTCAAGAGTATCACCGTTATGTTTCTGATTTAGATCATCATTGCTGTGGTTACACAGGAAAATGTCCTTATTCTCAGGAAATCGTCACTATTTGGACGTAGAGGAGCACAATGTCTCCAGCTTATCCTTAAATGGTTCAGGGGAGAAAAAAAAAAAGTATAGATGGAGAGAGTGTGAATACCAGGGACATGAAGCTAAAATGTTAATAATTGGTGACTCTAAGTCAAGCAAATACAAGAGCTCTTTGTACTAATCTTGCAACTTCTCTGTAAGTCTGAAATCAGATCTATCTACATCTATACACTGACAACTAGATAGATATATAAAATAAACCACACAATTCAAAATAAATTCATCATCCAGGGCATCAACCTAAAATCCAGCCTATTCCTCAGGTATTCTGAAGAAATCTGTACAGAAACAAGGCTAGGATACCAACAGCGACGAGGTCAGCAGACTCACTAATTAATCTGTCTACATTTCTACTAGCTTAAATTATGTTTCGTTTGAATAAAATGTATCAGACTTCCTTAAACTTAGTGCTGATGACTTATTACGCTTAAACACTCAAAGTACAAATTCCATACTTTTTCTCCCAGTGAGGCCCAAGGTTGTCAATATTCTCACGCACTAACAAGTACGCAAGGCTAATTGCTATAGCCCGATTGTAGAACTTCTGTGTACATAAACTTTTTCTAATATGCCCAGTTCCCTATTTTCCTAGAAAATCCAATTTACATCCCCAGGATGTCAGATACCACAAATACTATGCTCTTGTTTTTGTCACATCAAATGAACCATTTTATTCTTTACCCTTCTTAAAAAGAAATTCAGTAAATCTTTGCTCACTGCTGGCTTTTCTCTCTTCCCCAGCACCTCCTTCTTTGATCAAGCTTTTCCATCCACTCTGGAATAATCCAGGGGTAATTAGAACTTCTTACCTTCTTTAGCCCAACAGGAGCTAATTTATCACAAACTGTCATGGATTCCGAATCTAAATTACCAAGAGTCCAATTACCGACAGAGGCAAGGAATCTTCTTTCCAATTAAAGTGATTGATTTCTTCCCAAACCCAGTAGCATTTCACTTTTTAATTATGTTCATTCTGATCAAATGTGAGAAAATTCTTCCTCATTTTATTTTTCCAACAAACACATTACAACAAACATTAATCACGAAGTGATACAGGCCAGACCTGCTAATTCCTTTGGCAGAAATGAACATCTAATCTATCTGTGGGTTCTGTCCACTTTATGGGTCTTACTGCCTCCTTCAGCTCCGAAGGGGGGAAAAGGAATAATTATGTGTTACATCACCTAGTTCACTAAAGGGCTTGTCAAACCTTCCAGCATCACCTAAATTGTGATGAAGCGGCACTGGATATTTAGATAAACCTAGACTAGCAGGGGGAATGAAGACTTGGAGACAGAATATAATTTCTGTTTCTTGTGCAAAGAACAGAACCGCAGTGTTGGGAGACCAAGTAGTGTGTGGAGGTAAACATAAGGAACATGGAAACAATTGTTTTTTCTCACCGGAGCAGCATTAGAATGATTATGTACTGGAAGAATTTTGAAGGAGAAAAATAAAACTTCAAATTCAGTTTGGGCGGGGCGAGGGGGGGGGAGTAGAATTTGGGAGTATCTGAAGGAACGTGAGGACAGACTCCCCAAGGCCTGAAAGACACTGGTTTTATCTACTTTGCTTTTCATCTTCAAGGGAAGGATGGCTGGTTCTGGTTCCCACGGCCTGCTGACCCAGGAGCCTGCAACCTTATCTTCCCTCCCACCTCTCTCCACGTGGTCAGCAGATTGGCATCAGTTCATTCACCTGAGACCTACAAAGGCCAAGGTTTTCACTCGATGAGCATCTTCCAGCCATCTGTGTCCTAACAAGTGACTACCCTTTGTACTTGTACGGATGCAGTCGCTGACCATTTTCCAAAAGCATTCACAGATTGATAAAGATGAGTCTGGGAGCCCTCCAAGACTTTAAATTCCCCTATTCAACCACAGAGTCCTATCTGACCATTGTAGTGGAAAATGAAATTATATTGTATACTAAGCTTTTAAAAATTAAAAAAAAAAAAATCCATATATGTTAAGATGGTACATCTGCCTCTATTCCAAGTTCAGTTCGTGAAACTCAGGAAGACCAGTATGACCGGAATAAGACTTTTCATTCCTTAAACAGACAATTGTTGAGTACCCACTAAGGGCAAGGATGCCAGGTGCTGGAAGTGGAGAAACATGGCTCCTTCCATGATGCTCTAAGGGGAGGGCAGAGAAGCAGACACCTCGGTAGGGAAGTCAGGCATGTGATGGGCAAAAGGGTCACCCCTGTAAGAACATTGTTCCAAAGGAGGCACAAACGAGGCAGGAACTCCAGGCCAGGAATATGTCACAGCACAAGCAAACGCATGTCCCATTCCAAGAACCATAAACATAAGAAAGACAAGCCCAGGCCACATGCTGCAAAGCTGCGGATACCAGCCTGAGAACCCTGGATTTTTAACATATCATGGAGGAGCATGAGGGAAGTAGTAGTCCAGCTGGCTGTGCAGGGGTGGGGGCTGGGGGAGACGAGGCTGCAGAAATAATCCGCAGAGGGCAGACATCAGAGCGGGCCCTGCGACAGGAATGGAAGTAAGTGGAAATTTGAGACTTGGGGTTGGTACAACGCACAGGGGCTTGCGCCCATCAGGAAAGGATGAAAAAGGTGAGGTCGACTCTGAGCACTCTTCCATGTGAACACTGAGGAGGATTCCATGGACCGGCCGGCTTTGCTATATAAACATTTATTGTAGTCATTATTCATATCCTGCCTTGAGCCCTTGTTTGAAGCTCTTCAACATCTCTGGGACAAGTGGGGGAGTTATTTCAATCTTTCTTTTTACAGATGAGAACTAAGATGAGGGAAGCTTAGCCCTGACCAGGGGAACCCAAATAACCCAATTAATTGATGGTGAGCTGGGATAAGAGATCTGTACGGTCCTTATTACACAATCCAACAAAACAGAGATAGCCCAGAACTGTCCTATTGGCATGTTTCCAGCCTACGTGGGACAGAGTTCATAGACCTTTACACCATGAGCTATGCTGTAAGGTGGTTTCTTGATAATGTCCATTCCAAAAGCCAATGGAAGCCACCACAGTATACCGAATCACTTAAAAAAAAGAAAACGGGGCGCCTGGGTGGCTCAGTCGTTAAGC